ATTGAAAACTTCATTATAAATGCCCACCACCTAATATAAATAAAAGTTGGCAATTTTATATGTTAATTGTATGATGAATATGATTGTCTTTCTGTCTAATTTTGCGTGAATTTGATTCCCTTTTTCTAAACAGTAGGAATTGTTAGATTAATCAACTGTTCATTACGATAAATAAAGATATTTTAAATAAATGGATTTTCCGAGTTCTAACAGAAATTAAATTAATTTTATTCATCCAATCTGAATTTCTATTGAAATCAATGGGATAAATGCAGATAGTTTACATATCATAGTAACTAAAACAAATCTCAAAAAATATTTTTCAGATCGCAATAAATTATGTAGATGGATTTTTTTAAACGGTAGGTTTACAATTTATGAAGAAGCCCATCAGAATTAAAATGAGTGCTCTTTGAATTTTATGCAAAATTCAAAGAGAGTAAAGGATATCTGGTACCGAATTAAAAGTGAAGCGAAACTGATCATTATTCAGTTACAAAAATCATTAAAATTACTAAATAAGACAAGGCCAATAAAGAAAAAAAGGGAAACACTTTGAGAGATTGTAAAAGTGTATGGTAGTGAAAGGTAGTTTATGAAAATATAAAATAAAACAGAAAACAAATAGAATTAAAGCCTAAATATTATGTTTAACTTGATTTGTGAACTTTGCAAATTAACTTAATTTTTCTCCAAATCTAGCATAAAAAGCAGTAAATAATACATCCATATGGCTAAAAATCATCTCTCTGTCCTTACTCGAACTCTAAATCTAATTCTCAACTTTAACTCTTAACTCATACTTTAATCATTAGCCTTGACTACTAGTTCTAATCCTAATTCTTTATACTAGTTTCTAACTCCAATACTTAGTTTTATTTAAATTAGTCAAAATTAATTATCAGAAGGGGTTTTGTGGAGATTTTAATTATTTAAACAGTTGAAATCATGAGTGAATTGAAGTTAGACCACCATGAAAAACCTGGAAGCACTGGACGGCCGTTTCGTCCTAGTATAGAACTCCTCAGTATCCACGATCCCGCCCCCCGGCGAAATTCGAACCCAAGATCTATCAGTCTCTCACGCAAGCGCTTAACCTTTAGACCACTGAGCCGGTCGGCATCCACCGGTGCAAATGTCTAACTTCAAACAATCCACGAAAGTGATAATAATCATCTGCTCATTAATGACTGACTTCAAGAGGCATTTCCTGGAGTTCTAATGAGAAGCCGTGACAAGTGGAGTTCAACCAGGTCTGTTGTGAGATATCAGCTCACTGAAGACGATAGCGGACGGTGGAGTAATTCCGTGGATTGTTTGAAGTTAGACATTAGCACCGGTGGATGCCGACCGGCTCAGTGGTCTAAAGGGTAAGCGCTTGCGTGAGAGACTGATAGATCTTGGGTTCGAATTTCGCCGGGGGGCGGGATCGTGGATGCTGAGGAGTTCTATACTAGGACGAAACGGCCGTCCGGTGCTTCCAGGTTTTTCATGTTGGTCTAACTTCAATTCACTCATGATTTCAACTATCAAAATTAATTGATTACTTGTATTATCCACATCCTGATTGGGTAACAATTGAATAAAATAACTCATGTACATTTTTGGAGATCATAGGCAAAGTTCTCATCAAAACAATTTGTGCTGAAAACTGTTTATTAAAGAACAAAGGGAATTCATATAAGAGTGAACAAAAAAATTGACTTTTGCACAATTTATCGTAACTATTCTTATGAATTTTGTGTGCGTTTGTGTGTGTATCTCTCACTGACTATACATACAGTAAATATATAGCTTCTTATGTAAACATCTTAATAATAGATAATGTTTTATTGTTACTATTCAAAAGAAAAAAACGTATTAGACACGATAAAATTTTTAAACATTATAAACAAATTGCTAGAATAAATACTTCATCTGAAAATTTAAAAAGTGTCAAAGATTCTGTAATTTAAGTCAGTTAACAGACACACAAATTTTAAAACCTGTCTGAGTTAAAATGGTGTCTTGAAATTATTGCATAGTAATAAAAATTGACAATAATTTTCTAATTAATACACAGAATATATTTGTTACTTAACGTCTATTCTGATATATTCACCCCTAACAAGTGTATTTATAATCTATGAATTTCATTTTTACCTTGATTTGTTATGTCATCCAAACTTTCATGTACTTCAGTGCTTTTCAGACATCGTTTTCGAAATACATTTATGAAAATGTAAATGAATTCAAACCATTTTTGGGCTATATATATATATATATATATATATATATATATATATATATATATATATATATATATATATATATATATATATATATATATATATATATATATATATATATATATATATATATAGAATACATTGTTGAACAAATGACGTTTTAATAAATATCTTTTCTGTTCTCCCACCTTGTAGCCAAAATGATTTTGTCTGTATCGTCTTATGGTTAAGATTGAAAAAGAAAGAATCTTTCCGTTTTCAACAGATGAATAAAGAAAATTTGTTTTATTAGGAAAATGAGTATTTTCCGCAATTGGTGACACATTTTAGGTAAAAGATCATTGCATTGATGCAAAACGTTATTTATCTGTTCCGCTTTCCAATTAGAAACAATTTTGCTAGTGATTATCACATATATATATATATATATATATATATATATATATATATATATATATATATATATATATATATATATATGAGTTGAAAATAATATCTACAAATAACTAAAGAGCCATTTTTCATGAATAAGGTAAAACTAGCAAAAAAATTAATTCAGAACTATGTGTTTAAGTGAAGTCATAACTGTTGGATATATTGATCATCTTTGTACTTCCATACATTATCATAGATATAGATTTAAACATAAGTCCCTGCTTAAATATTTTCTTATTCACTGTGTTTTAGACTGTAATGAAACTTGACGTTATTAGAAATTTAGATGTGTGGATATAGTTCATTTTAAAAGTAGATAATGTCAAAAGGTAAGGGAATTCAGATAGGTATCACACGATATTGAGAATTGGCTGTATTTAGAAATGTAAACCATTAAATTTCAATTCATTGGTCTAAAGTTAACATCCTTGAAAAGTTTGAATCTCTTCAATACAACATCTGATGTCTTAGTGAGCGATCATAGCTTTGAGTTTTCATATTAGGAGGAAACAGATGCACAGTGCATACCTAAAACTAGTTTGTGATTTTTAAAGTACAATCAAGCTGAACAGTGATGTTTTTTCTAATGAAACGCTAGGTTCTAATTTGAAGAATACCAACAATGAATTAGATAGTGATAGGTTAGTGAAAATAACAATAAAACACCTAACAATACAATATTGTCTACGATCTATATTAGTGTAAATAATAGATCGAATTAATAAGCGTTTTTGTAGGACTTAGTAGTGTGAATATAACAAAGGAAAATAAAATGAATAGATCTATGCTTAAATGATTATATTTACTGAATTTTCCAAGGTTAGATTTATTCAGTTGTACTACTCAGAAGAGTTTATTGATCAGAACAAATTTCTTGACTAAACTGCATTAATATAATAATTATTCTTAAAATACATTGACAATATATCTCAGTATATAAGTTGTAAATTTCCGTTTTATTAAACAATCCTTGTCATAATAAACACATGTTATTGTTTCACATTGATTTTAATGTTCAATTATCAAGCCGTCGTTATTAGAATGTAATTATTTCGATTCTGTATTCTATCTCCCTATTATACATACAAAATCCTCTCGCTGTCACACTTTATCTAAACGTACAATATCAAAGCATTTGTTTCATTCCGTTTTCTTTCATTTTTTATTTAAACGTTTAAAACATATGGTTTTCATTCATTATTTTTTTTAAAAAATAAGCAAGTATTTTTAGATAAAAGATGGACAGATGTGAGAGTATTTTTCTATATAGATAAATATCTCAATTACAACTCAACAATCTCCACAACCCTGTACTGATAAATAGTTATATGTAAATGTAAGTGTATCTGTTACACAATCTGTTATTGTATATTTTGACATACATGAAAGAAACCAAACGGAAGTTTATCAAATTCTTAAAGTAGCATACATCTGTTCATTTCAAATACAAATGTCCTATCGGTCTACTAGGTTTTTAATGAGATTGAATGCAATAAAAATACACTATCAAATTGCCTACATTATTTGATAATACGATAATCATTATTTTCAAGATATTGATATCAATAGGAATGGAAACGAACGACCTCAATAGTAATATTGTTGACCGATATCTTCATTGTAATGCTTGACGAAATCGCTTTCAGGGGTGCGTTGTTTGTCAGTTAATCTCAAATATTCTTTCCTGATAAATGTTAACCAATAGGAAATGATGGTTTCTGGGATTCAAGCTAAATACTTTCAATTACCAAACAGCAAGTGAAAACAGAATCACTAGGTTGCTATATTCGAAGGTTTAAAAGCACAAACTTATAGGTAATTCTGTTCATATATTTTTAGTTTTACAATGAATATCTTTATTTGATGTCGAATAAAAATACTATAAGTTTAATGTCAATTAGAGTTATCTCAAACTGTCCCACCATGTAGGGTGTCCAGTGTAGTGCAACCTGACATGATGGATGAAGAATGCATTTGGAATATAATGTAAGGTTTGAATTGAAATACCTAATGAAGATCACATCATCCAATATGCTGCAATTATCCATTAAGTCGACGGAAAAATGACCGGAAGTGTTGAGCAAGACGCACATATTGAACATAAAATCATTACAGATAATATCAGCTTTAAAATTAAAAATTAATTAGTTAAAATGACCTCATTAGTGATTGAACATGGACAGTCCAAACTACTTAGAAAATAAATGTCTAATAGTATGATAACTTTTTAATTTATTAAAAAAATACCATTCAAATAATTTTGAGTTAAGCTATTCAAACCACCATATATGAGAATTAATGAACAATGTATATTTTCCATTTTTATATTCAACTTACTACTTGTTTTTCAGCATAATGAAGGATTTTCTTGTCTTTTAGATTGGTCCGTTTATTCTCTGACGATCTATATAAAAATAGAATCATAAAAAGTATATCCCTGTAAGTTCAGTATTTTAAACATAAAACAGTATTATTCACACGAAAAATTGGAAAGTGGTTTGTAACGAAATTAAAAATGTGAGTTTTGATCTTAGTTGAAACTCAACCTGTATGCAAGTGCTGATGTCCACACCTGGATCCGAACCTATAAATTTGATATTTCAACACTGTGAAAGTTATTCATTATGCTAATGTTTCCAGATAATCACTAGGTTTTCCCACGGAAATAATTCCACTACCTATTTTCTTACTTGAAATACATGTGGTTCAATAGTAATATTGAACAAATTCGTTGAGGATACGCTTATATAAAAAAAGATCAATAACAGTTCATGATACTAATGACAAAATCCAAGCAACTATGAAATACAACATATTTTCTGTTTTTATTTATAGAAAACTAAATCAATTCATCGACTTAGATATACAAGAAAAAACTTGACTAAAATGTCATTAGAATATTACATTTACCTTGAGATCAAAAAATACCGTGCTTTACCAAAATGATTCAATTTAAGAACAAAATAACAGTTTAGTTTAAACTAATTTTCAATCATGTTTCAGCTACATTGGAAAATTATCTAACTTGAAGATATTCAGTTGTTTTTTTTTGGTTGAGAAAAAGTATATGTTTACACTGTGACAGTAGTAATCATAATAGAACAACTGAACAATCTAAGAAGTGATTGACATCTTGATTTAGTGATTACAATCGTTGATAGAGCTTAAGAAAACAGTTTAGAATGAAAATGATGTTGAAGATATTTCCCATCATAGCACTGGAATAATAAAATCAAATAGGGAGTTATTATATGACACGAATAGAATACCACTGACAAAGTTGATAAATACATTGTAATGCATATAATTAGGTTATCCTGATTATATGCATTACAATGTATTTATCAACTTTGTCAGTGGTATTCTATTCGTGTTCACGTTTCAAAGATATTTTTGATTTGATGACTAAACAAGAGTTTTAGACAGCTTCCTAATTAATTCATTGTAAATACCACAGTCCTACAAAAGGTTAATTGTGTCTCAGAACATAAAACTGGCTGACTCAATCACAGCATCAGTTCTCTCAAGATTGAAGGTAAATATTGCTGACAAGACCTATTTAGCACGAAGCGTAGGTCATACATAATCTACAGTCAAATAATCTCAACCACCTAACATACAATATCGTGTCATTACTTTCAGGTTACTCAGTCTAATGAGTGAATTACAACTTAAATGATTGAATTTGATCATTATCAAAAGACTAAATAGACATAATGCTGGCCGCCATACAGTGATTAGTCAATTATGAAGCAAGGATCCCGTTTAGTAGATTGACTATCACAAAATCAGTTAAAACTTTATTTTCTAAAAAAAACACAGGCGAGACTCTAATTTAGGGACGAGCCAATCAAAAGCGTGTGAGCCGTTTCAAGGTCACGGAGCCAAGTTCAACACCTGATGCTCACATATGATCGGTTTACAGCGGATTTTAGAGAAGAGGTGATTATTGAGAGGCTACAAGGGATGGGATTACTAAAAAGTTCTTGTACGTGAGACTGCGGTTATCATATGACCGCAGTAAAGTGTGCAAACCACCGTGGTGAGATTATATTGCGTTGTCCTTCATGTTGAAGGAGAAAGTCTGCTAAAACGAGGACTTTCTTCGCTCGATTGCTACTGAAACTGAATCAGATTATGATAATAGTTGCAAATTGGGTAATAAATACACCAGTAACACTGGATGCGGCGTTTGCAGTTGTTTATGAAACTTCAGCAGTCCAGTGGTATAAGTACTGCCGTGACATATGTGCAACTAAAATAACACGTATACACCAATCATTCGGAGGAGTAGGATGTATCGTGCAGACAGATGAAACGGCAGTGAGAAAGCGAAAATAGAACAGGGGACATAGTATAAAGTAGGATTGTGTAAGTAGCATTTCCGTGAATATACTCGACAGGTACTTGGAATTTATGGCTTTTTATACCGTATGCAATATGATTTCAAAACATCTGAAACTTTAGCAAACCTTGATAAGTATTTAAATCACGTGAAATAAGTATATTCACTGTAATCCATTAGTTTCTTCTAATATATTTCTACGTTATACTGGCTGTCTTCTGATTGGCTAATATTCTCAAGGTCACTCAAAATTCGTTCAAAGGTCGTCCCTAAATTAGAGTCTCGCCAAAACACATTTATATTCACTGTTCGTTATTGTTTAAAATGAATTTCAACAAAAGTGCTCTTTTTTATATGTAACTACCAATTTTTGAAAGTACAACTATTCACTATAGGTTGTTACCATTCTTAATAATAAACAATGCAAAGTTACAACATAGTCTTAGAGTTGAACTTATTTTATTCAGACCGGGAAGTATCGGCTACACACAAAGAAATAATACTGATAACTACCACAAATGTTAAAATACAAGGCTCGTGAGTCATGATACTTCAAATTAATAACTGACAAAAGCAAACGCAGGTTTCGAGGACTTATCGTAAAAACACAAATTAGTTTTTTCCGTTTGGTTGGATGTTTTATTTAGAATAAATAAATACACGTCATAATCGTATGCCTGGGTAATGAGACTCGACAGAGTCTAAACATTTTTCATAAATCTAAATTTTTATCATAAATGAATAATATATTGTTAAAGTAGGCCGCTGAAATAGCTGTTTTAAGTAGTTTCTAGTAAATAATTCATACAATAAGAATTAACAAAAGTCATTTTTTATGTATCATAAACATCTACAACCATACTAATTGCAAATTTAATTGAACATAATTTAGCTGTGTTTCTCTGGAAAGCAATTACATTTACAATCATAATTTAATTTATATCATTGGATGGGTTTTCGTAATCATGTATGTTGTTTCTAGTATCAAACAAAAACATGAGCCAACTTGTTGATTGATGTTAGGTGTCAAAATGGAAGATTAATTTGAGTATTTACATTCGTCATACAATGATAAACAACTACATGAAAGGATAGAGTCCTATCTGTTTGTCCTTTAAAATTATTAATGAAACTTTCATGGATAATACACATAACACAGTCTAATAACTTTCCTCACAATTTATTTTCGTAAATGAATGTACATCAGCTGAAAATCCTAATTTCCTTTAGGTGAGTAGTGAGTCAATCAATCAAACATGGATAACTTACAAATGTGTATGAGGTTAAGTTTATAAGCAGTACATTAAGAAAAGATGAAAATGATAATAAGTGTGGGATGAATACAATAAGAATATAATGAAACGTATAAGACGTACCAATCGCAAAGAATAAAGAAAAAAACACAAAGGACCCTACTAATTTATTGTGGCTGAATCTAAGCTAGTACATCAAAAGTCTCAGATTATAGAGTATGATTGAACTCTGGTCTCAAAACAAAATGTTTGGATTTGGACTCGTAGATGCGGTTTAATGAAATGATTAATTACTTGATTGAATTGATATCATGTCTTCATTAGGTCATCCTTAGCTTTGTGCTTATCTATTCCTATATCATCTAACTCAACATATTGACGTATTGTGTGGTTAAGGAATAGCTGGTGTTTTAACCATACTTCTAGGAGATTGACGATCAAACACATGTAATCTGTACGCATGTTTCATTTTGTATGTAAAACAGATTGAGTACGTCTGTGGTACATGCTAATTATGTCTATCGAGACCAACGAGAAAAGAAATGCCTGACAACAGAACTTTGAAGATATTGGACTGAAGAAAACAGAAAGAGAAACATAAAGGAATTGAGAATTGGAAGAATCATGAAGGATGTAAAAGACAATTGATAGACGTGCAGATGAAGTATTCAATGTATGCTTCTCATAATTCAGGAAGAAACTGTAATTTTGCACAAAACAATAAATTGGTCTTCGCTTGAGTGTTTGCTGACTACATACCTACTAATATATATATCTGTATTAATATCTAAAAGTACGAAATTACCATGAAAAAGGCTTTTCACTAAATTCTTAGCTCCACAACGTGATTGATATTTAAGTAAAAATCGTCATTTCTTTCTCATGTACTGGCTGAAAAACATTCTTATCTTCATCTATAAATGCACGATGCTAAGACAAAAAGACCAATATATCTTTAGATAACCTGAAATATAACTTCATCATAGATAACCATTACAAATTTTATAAAAATAATAACATTAACGATTCTTATTGGTTCAATAAAAACAAATAAATACAAAATTTTAATTATTTCGATAAACGATCCATTTTCAAAACAAACAACGTGTATCCTATGAGTACTTTTCGTCCATATAAGATCTCTCTCCCTCCCTTTCTCTCTCTCCCTGTATATACATATATATATATATATATATATATATATATATATATATATATATATATATATACATTGAATTCAAATGTTCCGATATATATATATATATATATATATATATATCGGAACATTTGAATTCAATGTATTATTGTATCTATTTTGAATATTGTTCATGAATTACCACTAAATAAGGTTACCGAATATTGTGAAAACTTATGTAGACTAGCATTTAATAAAAATATCACAAATAAGAATTCATGGTATAATGTTTGTGTTGATTAATTGGTTACTGAAATACGGAGAGAATAATCATACTAGTGGAATATTATTTATTGATGAAGTTTTGTGGATATTGGTTGCTCAGTATTTGATTTTCGTTGTGTTTAATTATTTACAAAACTAGTACCAAAACTTTTATTCAGTCTCCAGTGAATTGATCATTGAATAAAACAATGAACAATGAGATATTGAAATTAAATGTTATACAATTTCTAATATCCGTTTATAAATAGGATGTATCAATGGAACGGTCTGTTTAAACATTGTGATTATAATTACTGAACATTTACATAAGCAGCGTGTCAAAATAGAAATACGTAAATTAATAATTTTTTTATTATGCTACCGATTACTGTTTTTGGTCAGTCATACCGTCAAGTGAACAGTCAATCAATGCAAATTTTATTAAGTCTTTGTTAGGATTTTCAAGACTGAATTGATTACTGTCTCTCTTTCTCTTCACTGTGATCCTCAGGCAGATAATGTGATATTGTGTAAACAAAGAATGACGATTGAAACAAGTATAGATTCATTGAATTCAGGGGACTTTTTCAAAGCTTTGCAACTTAAATAATCTGCATGGGACACTGAGAATAAACAGATGGAGTTTTTATCATTTTTGTAGGCAAATGATAATTGGATTAAAAAATGAAAATAAATGTATTTCAACTGAGAGCAAAATATATCTATGCACTTGTTACTTTATTCCATATCATACTGATTATTTGCAGAATAAACTAATGTTTCAAATCTTAAAAAGTATAAGAGCAACTCATGAAGCTTTAAATAACTGGATATTGAATAGGCTAATGAAGTAAAAATAAAGGGAGATAAGAATTAGTGTAAAGAATTTGATGATCTTGAAATGGAACAGAGGATATAAATTTGTGAATTTGATGTTGTGAAACGCGAAAAGGTGAAGTACTTTGGGTGACACGTATCACATCGCATTCTAAAATTTAAACTAAACAGCTATATTGTTTTTGTTAAGTTGGACTGTATCTATTAGTGGAAATTAGGACGCCCATAATATTCTATTCTGGACTGACCAGCCGAATGTACACAGATCCACATATTGACGCCTACGCTGAAAGTCGAACAAAGTACTTACCACATTAAACAATAGTGAATTATCTACCAGGCCTCTGAATATGTATAACCATTAATTCGCTCAGCTGGTACACGTTTACAGTAAAGATGTACTCAGAAGCTCAGCAGACAATTCATCGACAAGCAATAGACAAGTTATTCGAGTTTCAATGTTATCGTTTACACTAAGATTTAGGTAGATTCAAATATTAGTCACAATCCGTTTCTACTAAAACTTCAGACTAAGGGTCAATACAGGGGAATTACTTACATGTTTAGGATGTGACAGGGTTGATCGGTTGAAAACTACAACAGCCAAAATAAAAAAAGCACATTTGCAGCGTACTTTTTATCGACTGGTATTATTTTCTTGTTATGATTGTTGAGAATAAAATATGGTATATTAATTGCTGCCGGAGTTGAAGTAATCATACGATAAAAACATTGTTCTTTAATTGATTCATCATAAATTTTAGCTAAATTATGTATTAGAATCCACCTGAGTGTTTTCTTACTCAACATTAAAGACTTATTCACTGGGGTCTCATCAAACTGAACACATACATTGAAAGGCAGTGAGGAAAATAAGAAAATCATATTCCTAATACTACTGAAGTTTAGAACCAATAATGCCTTTCCAGGCAGAAAGAAATGATAGAGAAAGTGAATAAATATAAAAAAACACATAACGTTCCTTGATTCAGAAAGATTCAGTGCTAACGCTATTTCTTACATCGTAAAGTCTGCTCAGAAATTTATGTGAATCGGTCTCGAGCTCATCAAACACGCTCTCAGTTAGCAAAAGTCTTTCATTACTAATCTGATCTGGACGAAGGAACATTCTTCTATTATATGAGCGATTGAGTAGTGTCAACCTTTACATAATTTCATCTTTCCGTTCGAATGTCTCATAATACACAGTTATTGTTGATCAGTACAATTTCAATATTATTATTAGTTCATCATTCATTAACTTCTGGATTTTCATAGTATGACCGGACTGAAAACTGTCAAGCGAAACCAATCAAACATAGTCCAGATAGAAAGTGAGAAATGGTGATGGCTACACACTATTGATCAAGTTCTGGCTCCACTTTCTGAGGGAGCAAGCGTTAAATCTGTAGCCAAACTTTCTAACGGATATGTGTCTACACTTACGAATGAGTTGTGCATATATTTAAAGTTAGACTACCTAGTAAAATCGTTCTCCAACTCAAGTCGCTTATTGGGCTCGCATACAGGAAGTGTGCATACCAGTCTTTAACTCATACTCGAAGGCCATAACAAAAGCATTAACCTTACATTTATGTCTTATCAGTGAATGGCAAAAACCTCAATTAAATGAATTACTCCATTTCCATGATGAAATGAGTAGACAAGCTGATTGGTTTATATCATATGTGGTTTTGTTTTACATTTAATGAGCAATCATAGTAAAGTATCATGTAGATGTTTGTTTCATTTTAACAATTTACGGGTAATGGTTTTTAATTTTACACTTCATTCGAAAAAAGTTTGAATAAAAACAATTAAGCATAATGTTATTTGCTTTCATCGTGAAACAAAAATTATTACAATAAATTTACGGGATAAATATATAGCTGTATTCGTGACATATCGATCAATATCATTGATAATCAGATGGATAGCTAACTCGTTAAACTATGAATATCCTCAACAGTGCACAACGCTGACCACATCAATGAACGTATCTTGAGACTTATGGATCTCATAAGTAAACGCTCAGGTATTAAGATTCTGCTTTCCAATGATACCCTAACTTCTTCAACATAAACAAACGTGCTTTCATTTTCGATTTGTATTATACTGAAAGCGCCACTTTTTTCACTTACCGTTGATTTTTAGACTCAGTATTCGTATTGAATGTGTTAGTTTTGTATCCTGATGTTTCAGGCTAAATGATTATGAAAATAAAATAAAAGAATTTATAAACTAAGCTTTTGTAGATAATAATCATAGACAAATATATTGTTGTGTGTACCTTTACAATATAATCATGTATCCATTATTCTTATGTGTAAAAATAGTTAAACAACGATAAACACTATGTTCTAAAAGTTTGGAAAAACATTCGATTTATTCATAAAACTAATAATTTTTCTATATTCTGTCTGATTTTTATACATTAAAATTCAATGATATAGAAAATAAGTATATATGGTTGATCCTAATATGAAATATTCTATTCCATAAATTAGATTTCAATCTGACAACTAAATAAGCAAGAAACGCCTGTTCTATATTTCACTGCTAGGCAAAATTCATTTTAACTACTTGTAATTATGATTTGAAAATGTAAAACAATGTCAAATATTTCCCCAGTTTTACTTGAGATGAATTTATAATAACCGGACAAGATGGTGACATTAGTACTGATATGATTGTGGAAAAAAAGTGGTTATTTGATACTTGTTCAACAGAACAGTACTGAAGTGGCTCCTTCCAATAACAAATGAAAGATTGCAGATGAAGATTTATCTATTCATCAAATACTAATTCGAGAGAAGACAATAGAAGATGGCCACGCAATGTCATAGATTGATTGAAGTTAGATATTAACACTGATGGATGCCGACTCACTGATCTAGAGGTTAACAGATCGCGTCCCATGTGATGGATCGAGTGTGCATACTTATGAAATGTCCCATATTAGGACGAAACAGCCATCCAGTGTTTCTAGGTTTTTATTGGTGGTCTGACATGGATCGGTTTATTATTTCAATTAAAACTCAACAATCTCCGCAACCCCATACTGCTCATTTTATCACTAACTTACAATTGATCAAAATGTCATCAAAAATTTGTGTTATACATATCATTTTGATTGTTGGACTAACAGATAAATTTGAATTCAGCGAACTGGTAAAAGTTAACACTAATTAATCCATAGTTCAATGCATATATATACCCTACAAAATCAATAGATTGACTGATTTAACTAACAAATATGACTAAATTACTTAGTTACACTTTGTTCTTTCTAGACGGAATTAATTTAGCAAAATAAGTAGATGAGTGAAATTAACGATTAATGTGTTATTGGTAACCAACATCATGTAACTTTTTATATTTGCTAACTAGAAAAGTGTCAATTAAACGACATGGTGTCGTTGTGTAGTCCTTTATCAGACTGTTATTGAAAGATACATCCCAGCTTTCCTCCTATATAATTATTGACTTAATCCGCTTTATTGAATAACGGAATCACGGAATAACGGAACAAGTCAAATACGAGAATGGTTTTTCAGCATGTATATTTCATGCACTCCTTGATTTGAACAAATAATCAGGGAAGCGAAACGAAGAGGGGAGAGCGAAGCAGATCGAAGAAGGCAAGTGAACCAACTCAGTTTAATCAAGCGTTACTCCATATACATAATCACACCCAAAATGAGTTACAGGCATATACTGAATAGGATAGGCAAACAACACACATACGATCGTATAAAAACTTAGGGTTAATTAACCAATAAGTGGCAAGGTCAAAATGTGGAATGAGAAGAATGAATAGATTGGTCTCTCCGGAAACTAGAAAAGCCTGTGTGTGCAGCAGTGTATTTGTGAGCGACAATCAGTTGGTCATTTTGTGTGTGTTCACAAACCGGAACGGAAGGTTAATTGCTACGTTTTTTTAAACGACAATTTTATAATCAATAATGCTAATTGTACAAATTATGATACTTAATGAAAAATGCAAATAATAACAAAAACTGATTACAAAATAAGTCTACTTTAACTATCCCCACAGTGGTTTGTAGAATGAATAAATTAGATGTGTACAAAATTTTGTTGGGTAAATGTTTGACTTCAGCGTTCACTATATTGTATACATCAGAAACTGTCAGAAACTTTTTTCCTGCTTATTGTTATATTTATTCAAACAATATTATAGAACTCAAGTGAGTAGTAGTAGTTGTAGTAGTACACTAAGGAACCAACAAAAGATACTGTAGTCTATGACTTCTAGCCTGCATTTGATAATTTACGTCATCTGAAGTCATAAACTAATTTTAAGATATTTGCATAACGTTATTTGTGATTTTGCGACCATGTTTCCGAATAAGCAGTAATTGCTCGAAACAATGGGAAGCGATGTGTCACCTCCAACAGCTTTCCCCGTTAGTCAGTTTAATGAAATGTTTTCATGATGTTATCAAGTAGATTATTAGACTTCCACATTATTTACAAATATGTCTACCTATATACACTTAAAATAATACGAAAGCTGACATCTTTCATTTTATTAAGAAATATACAATTCGAACTTATAGTTTGAAGATATTTACGACATCGCTAAGGTTGATAAAGGTACTGCGTTTTCTGAGCCAAGTAGTTTATTTTAAGAGCGTTCATTATCGTTCTAGACATCATCAGTACGAACTTTAGACTTCAGTATGATGTTCGAAGTCAGAGTGGGCAACTCCACCAAGTCAAATAATGTGTTCCTCGTCTTTTGAAAATGGGAGAGTTTCATCAGAAAACAATCTCTCACTAGAGGACAACTGTATTTTTTAGAAGAATATTTTCATCAGTACTTTTTGCTAACAAATGTCAGATGGCTGGTTTGCACTGCGGCAGAGTTCTCAAATTTACTAGTTTTCAATCCTGATTGTAACCATTAATGAAAAATAAGTTTCTCTACAGATACATTCAATCAAGTACAAATTAAGCTTTGAGTGAAAATCACACGCGCGAAATTCGTCACTGTCTTATTAGTAATAGTATTATGTAATTTGAAATATTTAAAAAGTACTTCATAAAAATGTCTTATTCGATATCAATGTGCTAATATTTAAAACAGTCACATATTCCTAGATTGTTTGGAAAAGTATAGTAGACATTACATGTTTCATAAACGTTAAGCCCCTTCAAAAATGTTGGGACAAATCAAAGATTTATTAGATTTGTCGTTGTGCCGATAAATAAAACATTTTATTAGCATATATCCCGACTTAACAATGTTTGCAGAAAGGACAGTGACGAAATTTTATAACAGGTGTTGCTGAAGAGTGCTGAATATAGGATGAAAAATAGGTCATGAAGTGTTGCTTCTAACAGAATATATCCAACCACCTAACATCTCCTCAACACAGTACACGTAATGTTGGTTCACACAAACTAGCGACCGTATTTCAATTCGATCGATAGCACTTAATGTACACTAAAGGAAGAACCAGACAAACATTAACTTGGTCATTTCTCTGTGATCAATAATTTGTAATTGTGTCAGTCACGGCCGGAATAGCTCAGTAACGACGTCTCAGACTACAAAACCAGGTGGCAGCGGGAAGAATCCATCAGAGAGCACTAGTTCTTATAAGACTAAAGGCATATCTTACTGACAAGTGCCAAAGACAACGAAACCTAGGTTCATGATTTCCTACCGACTTCCTTCGATCGCCTAACATAATAATGTTTGTGTAAATGTGAATGAAAATGTTCAAAATAGTCACTTAAATAAACAACTAGTCTGTCGTCCAACAATTTCATAGTAATCAACCAAAACCCTGGATAAATCACCACATTTCTTCTTTCCTTATTGAAGGTCATAGTTGCTGTGTTTGCTATAAATCTTCTTGAAAACCTGGTGTCATTTTTAAGGCCTAAACTGATGTCGTTCACTTCAAATCATTAACAGGATTGACTGTGTTAATTTCATTATCACTGAAAATCCACCTATGAAAAGTTTGTGAAGTAATATTTCAAATTTGTTTAGTGATTTTTATCGTTATCCATCTAATTTTGGCGTCTATCACTCAATTAAATCACGTTTTGCACCTATTATAGCTACGATTATGCAATCTCGTTTTATAGATATCAGATACCAACAAATTAGTGTCTATTATGTCATCGTTGACCTACATCCCTCCTATATTTAGACTATCAGTGAGACAGTACTTATTTTAAATAGACTTCATTCTGTCAAGGTTATGGGATTATATGACTAATAGCACCTATGCTTACTAATAAAAGTACATGACAATCAATTCGTATATAGAGAATATTACTGTCTAGTCATTTTATATTTTATTCAATCGTATCAATGGTATTCTAATGATTACACTACACAAGTTAATATTCTGCTCTACTTCACTTAGTGTGATGTGGTTAAGAATTGCTTAGAAGAATCTCCAAAGTGATATTTACTTTCGATGCTATTCACTATTTTAGCTACTTTTGAAGATGATGTTTTTAACGAGTGTTGAACACTTGTTCTTATTATAAACTACTTTGAAGGAAAGAAAGAATAAATTTTAATATTCTGAATATATATGGTTTTTTTTCGGATATTTAACAACCATGTACTTTATCTGAGAAATAGAGATCGATTATGAGAGGTGTTTTCTTTTCACAAATTAGTTTTTGCAATGTAATGGCTTGTCAAAATACTCATACAGCTACTATGGATAACTGTGAACATAACTAGTTGCTTATTACCGTATAACGGGAAGAATACTGATAACATTTAATGTGAGAAAGAAGGCAAAACTAATTACTTTTATGCACTAACTACAAATTCACAACCAATTAATCACTGGTTGAAAAGACGTATCAAAATTACGCTGAACTCTATATGATTTACTTACCTAGTCAGCAGGCAAAGTGAATATATTGAACTAGACAGTAGTTAACATGAACTAATCAAAATCAAATACATGTATATGATTTGTACCATCAATTAATTTAACTAAATTAACGAACAATATAATAAAAATTATTCAATTACTCATTTGTTTCTTCCTGACACTCAAAGTACCAGTCCTTCGCACTGATAGATGCTACTAAATCATTATCATACCTTATATTTTCAACAATCCTTCTTATTCACTTTTAGGGTGATAAAACCTCGTTGATAAAAGATGTACTACCGTCTTTTTAATCTATAAAAATATCATTGATGCACAAATTAACAGAATTAAAAACACTTAATAATGTGAACTAGATGGTATGAGTCCCAGCTGATGAAGTCTGTGTGTAAATACAATGTTTTAAAGCAAATCATGTAGAATTTCAAGGAAAGAGTCCTCTTCCATCGCATTATATGAAAGTATCAATGTGCCAACATCATTTTTTGCTTCTAATTAGATTGTTATTATGTAGTTGTGCTTTGTATTGTTCCATCAAGTGAAGAATAATACACAATAACAATTTAGTATTGTTTAAAATACTGACATTTTTTTGTAAGTAGACTTTAGATAACTTTAGTTTACTTATTATTAAGAAGGCAAAGTACTTCAGTGATCAAGTGATATGATGAGTTTAGTTTTAATTAGTTTAAATGTGAGTGACTCGGGAAACTGATTTTCTCTAACAGTCTATAACATGTAACCAAGTGTTAAGAAGGTGTAATTGTGCAGTGTCCGTTCGAATTACATATGATATTTTGTTCCGTAAAAAATCCATTTATTTCACTGTGACATTTATACAGTTTATTATTCATTGTATTGATTTAATATAGTTTACATTCAATATAACATGTAATATGCATTTTGTCTTAACTCTATGTCTAATCTACTTTGTATTTTCCTTATTTTATTTATATGTGATGTTCTTTAACTTATTATCGAATATCAGTAAATGAGTGGTTTTTGGAGAATGAATGAAACCTAGTTCTAATATAAGTTTTTTATTCGTTTTGAGTGTCATACAATTTTTTCTGATTGCTGTGGCATTTACCAATTATGATGATAAATACACTTACAGTGGCAAGGTTGTTGGGTACCTATTATGACGTGAGTGCTTTCTTATATGAAACAGAACATTGAATCAATCATAAATAGACGGAAATCAACGATAAAGCTTTGTTAGTAAACCGTTTTTAACACATTTCAAATATAATACGATTATGCAGTACTCATTAACAATGTTACATTATAGTTGCTGATTTGTTTCTTAGACCTATCTATTAGTGTGGTTATTACACAATATTCTATGGCTTTTAGGGTTACATTAAATGAGGTCAATCTATGACGAATATCATCTATAATATGATATTATTTAAGCTAACACTCACAATCGAATTAGTTTTTGCATTTTTCTTATGATACGCTGTTGTACCAAGCATAAATTCAACACGATCCAATTCTTTCTCAAATCTGGGCAATTCTTTTGTCTTCATTTCTGTATTTTTATTTGCCAAAAATGTTAATACACATTTTTGTTCAGCTGTCTGATGTAGTAATTCACGACTCAGTTCTTCATTTCGTATAGACTGTGAAGAAAAAAAACTATACACAAGCATGTGGAAAAACTAATATGATTACATTAACTCAGCCAAGCTGATAAAATTATTTATTAAAATAAGTAGTATATTTTTGCTAATTCGTGATAAAATTGTCTGTATTTAGTGGACATACGAATGAGTGACTTTTGATGTATCTCAAAGTACGGATAGGTTCTCTTCGTAATGACCCGCGATTATCGATTTACCTACGCCTACTGTTTTAATCTTGTTATAAGGATCTTTGAATCATTTGCCAAACTTACAAAGATTCGTTATATCATTGTCTACCATATACTTTTGTATGATTTTTTTAAAATGATTTGATATTGACTTCTTTTGGAAATTTCGTTTCGAAACCAATTAACAACTTTACAAACTTTAAGTTCAGAAACTAATTAATCCATGAAAATATTTGAGGAGACTCATGTTATTCATCTCCTACACTGAATTAAACTTCAAGCACTGTTCTGTTGTTACTATTAGATACTGAATGTCGTGCTGTTCACGTCTTATGCTAAAATTAACGGATTGACATTTAAAAGGATTAAGTGTGAGACCATTAACAGCAAACCATCGTTTAATGAGGAAAAAGAACCCATTCATTTCAAGGCGATATGAAGAAATGAAAATCGGTTTATATACAGTGAGATGATCCGCATATTTAACGAAAGTGATTTCCATAAAAGATGGCAGGCCATGAAAAGAAAATGAAAGAACAGCTTCTCGTGGCTCTACTTGTGGACGTAATAAAGACATAGAACACTTTCCTGCAAGCACAGTATACTGAGCATGAAACATACTTTTTACCCTTTTCCAAGCTGAACACTATATTATAACGCAGGACAACTGCAGTATCCAAAGTACTTCTTTTTCATTTGTAAACAAACTGGTATGGATCCATATGCTTTTTCAACTAAAATTGAAACACAACTATTCTTCAAACTTGTGGATATATGAAGCATGAAATCAGATGATCAACGTACAAAAAATTTAATTAGCTCACAAACATCGAGCTCAGTATCGTCACCAATGCACATCCCACCTGTTAGCTCTCTAAATAGTTTCCACATATTTGTATTGTGTTTGTAATATAGGAATTCCAGAGCAAACATTGGTTTATTAAACCATTTAGCTCTTGAACTTCAATAGAGTTTCTCTCCTGTATATTCTTTCTTTTTCCTTCCGTGATTGTTTTATTTGTGGAGGTGTAAGTCAATCAAATCTTATAAAAATATTTTCACTGGGCCAACAAACATCAAAGCAGAATTTCAGATAACAAGTGGCTACATCAACAGAATTTTCCTACGAGTCATTTGTAAATGAATATTTCCTTCTGATTAATATAACTATCAGAAATATTCAATCGAGTCACATACATTCAACATTACTAATGAAAACTAAGTTTTAATGGGCATCCAAACGAGTGGAAAAATCTTTTACATTTTGGTGACCTAGTGATGAAAGAATGTTGTGATCACATGAATTGAATGTAAACGGCAGAAAGCAGTAACAGCTAATCCAATGAATCGATCAACGAAAACAGGTAAGCCAGATGGTGTGCAGTTCGTAGTCACGCAAATGTCGGTAACATAAATATAATCATACATGTTCGAGTGTTTTGGACGACATCTTAAAAATAATCAACCGATAAAGTCGTCTGAAAACTTAAAACATACTAAAATTGAAGTTTTAAACATCAACAGGGAGATTCAAGTAAACAATACCAGGTGAATTTAAACTTCACCCCACTGCACAAGCAAGCGGCTATCAGGACTCAGTAGCTAAGTAGATAGTGTGATGGCTTTCGATGTGAACGGATTTCGGAATAGGTAGTATTGAGCGTTTGGTAGATCGCTGGTGGAGTATGTTGTTATTACAATGACTGCTCAGTGCAATACTAATTCTGACTTAATAAAAGAACTGTAGTTTGTTGACAATTTAAATTAATACTTATTGCATGTAGTACCGGGCCATAATAAACACAAATCAAAACTGATAACCAGGCATCGTTAAATGTAATCTTCAGGGATAGAATTGACTTTTCAGATTAAAAGTCAACTTATAAACAAAGATAGTTAGTAGCTAGTAGTGGAATCCTGGACACGTTTTGTCCCGTTGAGAGCTCTTTGATTGAATGTAGCTGCTTTCCATTGTTGACATTGACATTGGTAATCAGACACAGTCCCCTTCGCTCCGACCTCCGATACGCTTTCCACCGATCTATTGAGTCCAAACAGCCAATACGTTTTTCACTACGGTCTAACTTACTTCGTTTCTTACATTTTTGTCAACTCATTGACAAGATTTTTTAACAAGAAATTGTATATTCATATTCGCTAACGACTGTTTATTGGTAACTTTCAAAAGAATATACCACAAAAATAAAAAAACATATCGACTCTAGCTTTTCTCTACACATAAAAGTATTTATTATATTTTTTGTACATTTAGCAACCGAAAAATTGGCTTAAAGTGTTCATTTTATAGGCATTCGCTCAAATAAACTACAAAAACACATTTTCCAGATATTATATACCAAATGAAAGGGTGGAACCATAATTTATAGACAACCTTTGAGCGACGTTAAATTGACCTTGAGAATGTCCACCTATTACCAGAACTAAATGAGGGTTATAAAACAGTGTGGGAATTATAGTTATGATTTACAGTTGATGGTTAAGGTTAAAAATTAGATTTAGGGTTTTCATCACGAACTGACATCAGCTAAAATGCCAAAACGCTATTTAACCAAATAGATGGTTGAACTTCGCGCCAAAATCCCAGACCTGTTATCTTATACCGGATTGGTTCGTCCATAAATTATAGTCTCGCCAACTATAATCACTTTTACATATACAATAAAATCAATGTTACAGAATTCCACAAGGCAATAGCAACAATATTAATTCATAAAACGTCATCAGTAAATATAGTCAAAGTAACCACTGTACTGTATGTGTAAGTTTAATTCAATATTGAATAATAACTAACTGAAACATGTTTCATTAAAACAATGAAACAACGTAATGAATCAATAAATTGATGGAAAATAGGGTAGGGTCAGAGAAAAGAAAATTAATATTTTTGAAACAAGGTAATTGATATTTGTTAATTTGGACAAGGATGAATAACACTGATTAACAAAATCTCTAATCACTTTCGTTTCCTTTCTTTTTGTACTATAGATGAATTGTTAGTTCACTGAATTACCTCAGACACAAACACATTTTCTCCCTCCCTCCCCTCCTTCACCCTGAAAACTATTTTTAGACATATGGGTGAGAACTATTCATTGCTTCGACAAAAATATCTGTCCATATGATTGCATAATAATCAAACGATTTCACGTATTTATTCCTAATACCTCATTGCCCAAATACATGTTAGTGTTCTTGAATTTGAATCGTACTCTAAGTATGAGGACTAGTGTTACCACCCTTCTGATTAGATCAAAGCAGCCCCAGTGAGCTTCGAACCTGAAACCTAGTGGTTGAAAGTCAAATATGCTAATCACTGAACCACTGATATGTTTTTATCAATCGCAGTACTTATAAAACAGAGAAAATATTTTGTTAATGGATAGACAACCTTTTATCTCTACCAAAGAGAAGTGTGGTATTGATTTCCAAATAGTCTTGGAATCTTCTATGAAGGTTCTATTTAAAATGAGGAATACTGCAATAATTTATCAGTGGGTGGTAATCAATCTCATTATAAATAATACAGTATGTTGACTGAGATTCATCAATAAAGCCATTAATTCAAGTGACTAAATGTTTCTTTATATGTTGTTTCAGTTTGATACTGTATGAATGTTAGTTGACAGTATTAGTATGTGGCTCTAATGTAGAAAAGTGTGGTTTTCAAACTCATTAGGAGTAGAAACATTTTAGTAATATAGGGTTTGGAATCCTTCTGAATCCCTCCATCTAAACTGTACCTAAACAATAATCGGTAAATATGTTTGATCATCTATATCACTGATTGTCTAAATGTTCCTGGTGGAATAAAGGCATAGGATGAGGTTACGAGCTGAGATACATATTCACTTCTTCCTAACAAGTAGGAACACTTGATTCCTGTGATGGGTGTGGAGTCTGCAAGCAATCGACTTAAAACATGAAAACAATATCCGATTCATTTTACTAATTACTTACAACTCTTAATATCACTAGTAACGATCAATTGATCGATTTGAAAAAACACAGTTTCCATGACAACACAAAACAAACACAACAATATAACAAACATATATCATCTGAATAGATGACTAGTTTTCACAAATTCCAGGATAATAAATCATTCAGATGCATAATTTATTTACATCTTTAATCACAAATTTTGGATAATTTCTAATAAATGATTTTGTATAAAACAATAACCTAAATTAGATATGACAGTAATAATTAATTAAGATGGCAGTTGGAGGTAGTCAGCAGGAAACCCTGGACCTGAGTTTCGTGCTACTTGGCACTTGTCAGCAAGGTATACCTGTAATATTGAGGAAACTGGTGCTCCCTGACGGATTCGACCTCGTGTCACCTAGCTTCACAGTCAGAGATGTTACCACTGGGCTATCCGGGCCGCGACCGACCTCCTGTAGGACTGAGATGTAATCGCAATTGACTGATCACTGGGTAATGATCAATGTCATGCACTAATAAGGACTTGACACACATGACTTTGATCACCACCCAGTGATCAGTCAATTTTGAGTAATAATTAATTTTTAATCTTAACAAATTTCACTGAAGTTCAGTATTTTACTGATATTCATTATCATTTTAAAATTTATCACTGATTTTTTAATCAAAAACTTTTGATTAGATCTTATGTACATGAAATATGATTTAAATGGTTATGATGCTCAGAAAGTTCAAAGCTGACAAATGAATTACTTTCTTTTCATTATATTAGTAAAAGTGACAATGTTAAACACCTCGTTCTGTAAAGATTGTGCGTAGTATGTAAATAAATGATATTTTGCTTCAGTTTACTTTGTACATGATAAACGTACAAATAAGTAATCTTATTTATAGCTCACTGAATATATGAACATTTGGTGAAGTAGAAATGTTAAAATAAATAACGATGTTTGAAATAAAATCCCCAGTGAAAATCATGGTCATTTTTCAAGCAATCACCCACTAAATGACAGTTAAAATACTTGAAAATACAAGATAATACACCGTTATCCAGCACCGAATAAATGATAATTAATCACACTCTCTTAAATTCTGCGTTATCAGAAAACTACTACGCATATACAGCCTTATGTCATGAAAACGATTATATTCATCTTACCATTCTATTTAATTCTTCATGTAAATCACCTAGCTTCTTTTTTAATTCTGTACAATAATTGTTTAGCATATCATTGGATCTTTGCAATTCTACTGAATGTTTTGCAGCTTCTGTCGCTTTCTCACATATCAGTTGAAGTTGTTTATTCTATAAATGATAAAATAAAGCATAACATTCCACAATGCACATAAAACACAAATAATTTCGTGTTTTACATCCGAAAGCATATAATATTTAAATCGTGTGTCTAAATCAATTGGGCACTGGGTCAAAATTTTAGAAAACATTGATTTGATTTTGATCATAATGCAATCACTATATGAGTAAGTTTGTATTTCGATCCATCTCTGAAATAAAACCTTAACACTGTTCTTAGTGACATTTTGCCTAAAAACAAATTTTGGGTTATCCACGACGTCAAATAGTTCGACAGTTAAATGAATATCAACTGATGTCAGAAACTGATATGATTATTATTAAATTATGGGAATTTGTGGATATTATAGGATTTCCATAATTAAGATCACAACTTTTAGAGTTCTAGTGAGAATACTTGAATATTTGAGTTCAGCCACATTGCGTGTGAGACAGTTATCCACCGTGGGTAATAGATAAGCGGTGCACAATCTCGTGAGTCAATTGAAATTAGATATCAACACTGCTGGATGCCAACCCAGTAGTCTAGAGACTAGGACTGGAGGTTCTGAGTTCGATCACCAGATGGAGGATTACGGATGTGCAATGCTAAGCAGTTCCATGATACGATAGAACAGACAACCTATGGTCACTTCGTGGTTCAAACTATGTGAATATGCTTAAGTTGGATTTATCTAGTAATCAGTTAATTAACTTACTGCCTGACTGAAATAATAAATACATAATTGTCAGAACACAGCATTAAAAGGTTACAATATTTGCCACCGTCCTTCCATAATGTTAAATAAAAGCTTAATAAAAATATGAAATCACGAGTTTTTTAATCTCACAAGTTATGAAATATATGTGAATTCTCTAAACATGTATACAATCAGCATAACACTTTGTTGCCACTTTTATTCTGCGATTTAAGGCTGTCGGAAGTAGTCGACAAGAAAACCTTCTTCACCTAGGTATTGAGCTAGTTGGGAATCATTAGCAAATCACACCTGTAATCTTGAGTTCACTGTTATTCCCTCTGGGGTTCAGAGCTGTTTCATTCACCTTCACTGAATAACATAACATTACATTGATTAGCACTCAGTGACCAATCGATTATAGATATACCATTCCTACAGAAGATCCAAAGCGGGCAGAATAGTTCAATGATAAAGTCTCACAATGTGAAGCTCTGTGGCCATGTTCGAATCCACCAACTATTATCAGTCCCTTCAATATCATAGGCACGTCTTGCTGACGAGTGACAACCAGCACAAAATTTAGGTCAACTACGGATTCCTTTTGTCTACCTCAGACAACTTAATATTGCAACATAGAGCACATGATATTGCATTACTTGACTAATGGCCACATTACATCTTGCGAAATAGATTTCGAATGAAACTAAAGGAACACAAATATAAAATTCTTCACTATTCAGAGATTGATTAATTATGATTTTGTTTTAATTTAACAACGAACAATTATCACAATTTGAAGATGTATATGCTTCGAGACAGATATGAACAATTAGTCACTAATAGAAAATGTGGTAATTCGATGTGTTAGTGGATTGAACATACAACATAGTTTACAACCTGAACTTTCAACCAATCATAGAAATAGAACGCTGTTTCAACATGTAATAATGTATCAGAAGGGACTTTAGTGAATATTTTATTAATTTCAATAGTTGAGATCATGAGTCAATTAAAGCTAAATCAACATGGAAAACCTGTGTTCGAATCTCGCGAGGCGGTATCGTGGATATGCACTCCTGTGGAGTCCCACAATAGGACGAAACAGCTGTCCAGTGCTTCCAGGTTTTCCATGCCGGTCTAGCTTCAATTGACTCATGATCTCAACTATTAAAATTTAATAATGTTTTAGATTACTCAGATCACAAGTTATTCAATTCACTTTTTTTCACCTAATGACTTATTTAACTTAGTATGTCTAAAATGATCTAATTGGCAATAGCATTATAATAGATCTGTTTATATTGCCAACTATTAAATGTTTGTACAATACACAATAACTTAATAATAATAATAAATAATAATAATGATTTATTGATTACAACACGTGATGTCCCGTTTTAGTAATTTAATGTTGTTTCGTATTTCTCCTTAAATAACACATCTTGATTAATGACAATTAGTCACGTAGCTATATTTTGCCCTTCCATAAACACTGAATGTGTTTAATTTCCAAATTCTAAGTGTAATTATGCTTCATATATATATATATATATATATATATATATATATATATTTAGGGGTGTATGTAAATGGAATGGAACGTTGATTGTTCTTTGAATTTGGGCATCAAAGATATAATGAATAAATAAATAAATAAAGCAAATCGTCTGAAAACTAGATATAATCCAATATATACTGAATATATTTCGAAGGATTTTCAATAACATAACTACTAATTATTTATTATGATTATTGCTGAAAGTCTCAGAACTAAATTTATTTGTTTTTTTTTAATTATAACTAGGGAACATTTTAGAAACCATTAAAATAGAAGTTTTCTGCTCATTTAAATTTCAATTCAGTAGTTTAGTCATACTTATTGTGTCACAGTTGTACATATGTATCAGATTACATCTTGCATATAATAAAGTGACTGACTGAAGGATTTTTTCAAAATGAAATAAGGGTGAATTTATGTCCATATTTTTCATTCATTTCAGTTTATGATGGGAACAAATAAGAAAAATATCAGTTTTTAGCATGACTTCACGTTTTAAAAAACGTTTCGTATGGGTTGTAATTTGTCCATTTTGTTATGAACGATGGAAATCAATAATAAAAAGGAACAGGTTATAACCAGCTTATGAATACTCTAAAGTTTATACTTTATGTAAGTGGAAAATTTATATCAATATGAGAGTAGAATTGAGAAAAACAGTTACAAGAAGAGATGCATAGTGGCTAACAATGTAATAAATACATACAATCGATTTGACGAAAAACGGAAATATTATGTATCCGTTTTTTAATGTTCAATATCTGTGCAATATCGAGCAATTTCAAACAGATTTTCGTAAATTTGGTTGATGAATGCTACATATAAGAGATTTTATTTAGAATTCCAATTTTTATTTTCATTAGGTAATTTGGAATGAGGCATAGTGGTGTGATCGCAGAAACGTAATCCTCAGTGAAATTAATGCTTATATATGTAGTACTTAATCACTAACTGAATGGAGAAAGATTTACCATTTCTAGGTATTGTACTGTTTTATAATACCAAAGTGTCCCGAGATAACTTCACATGTGCATGAAAGATTTACGCGGTACAGAACGGCTGAGAACTTTGGGGGAAAGTGGTAAACAGGAAAAGAATCATATTTGAAGTTGGATATACCATGAATGATGTCGTGAGATTTGTATAAACTAGATGACTCTATATTTCAGAGCATTTAATTATTCAATCTTAAACCCTTAAATCAGAAAACGTTTTAATACTAGATGACATTCAAATCGATAAACACTGGTTTCATTTGTTTTAATATTTTATTTTAATTATTAACAGTCATTCTTACCCACTGCCCCACTCGATATTAAAAAATGTCACACATTCATTCAAGCATCAATTTAGTTTGAGTTCTTCATTTACCTACGTAGTTCTAGTTGAGTCTAAAAGAGCGACACCCTTCGATTGTGTGTTTTCAGTTGAATGGCTTTTTGAATGTACTGTCAGTATATGTGTATTCACTGAGAAGAAAATACAACTTGTTATTTGTGACCGCACAATCTTAATCAAAGCCAACAAAAATACAGTCAACAAATCATCTGTGTCTGGTTTGTCATATTGAAGTAATGTATTCTGTCAACTGAATTTTCACAATCAAATATAATCTTTTGCATTGAGCTACTAAGTACCTGCTTTCCAGGTGACCATTTTAAACTGCGTTATATCTTGATAAGAACCCTTGACTAACTGAACAATATCATTTAGGTTCAATTCCACAAAAAAATAATCGCATTAAGTGTGATAAAAATTTGAAGTTTTTTCTAGCAAGATCTATCTGAATTCCGAATGAATTTAATCTCTAAATTGAATTGTCTATACTTAACATCTACGCACTAATCGGTAAAGAAAATGGATATACTGTTCTCTAACTATGCATTCCATTCAGCCATGATTATCTTATGACGATAAATATGACAGTAGAATTGAAGGAACAGTTATAAGCAGAGGTGCATGATGACTAGCAGTGGAATCCAAAATGCGCGTTTCGTCTTATTTGGGACTCGCCAGCCGGATACACCTGCATCACAGAGTCGATGTTCACTCCGAGACTAAAATCCAGTACCGTTCGCTTAAACACCGATGGGAAGATTAAAGCAACCAATGCAAAAATGAATCAGGGAAACAGTAAAATACATAAGAGAAAAAAGTGTTTTTATGTATACGTGTTTTGTTGTATCTCACAATATACGTTATCATAACTTGTTGATTCGAAAACATTCCAGGATATTGACCGTGGACATAAAATACTACTAAAAATCGGACAGTTTAGTTGTTTATCATAAGTAGATATTGTTACATACTGTTACACAACTTTCTATAAGGGATCGTTCACTAAAAAATGTAATATCTCTACATACTTTTAAAGTAATTTCTTGTAATTCTAATTCTGTCTTCGCTAATTTTTCATTAGCATCAATTCTATCTTCTTCACTTAAAAGCCATGCTTTAGATAACTTCACCCGCTCATCAGTAGCATGTGATAATTCCTCATGAGTTTTTCCAAGATTTTGAGACAGTTCTTGAATATGTTCTCTTAGTTTTAGCTATAAAACAACGAATAAGATTAAGTACAGAAGCTCGAATACTTGTTTGAAAATAATCTATCTACTTAAATTTCAATAGTAGTTTATAAGTATTGCAAAAGTAACACTATTTTGATAATCTTCCTACTTTGAAACTTATCAGTTTCGTTTGTCTGTTTTAATTAACCAATGATAAATATCATCATGTAATAATCAATCTCCAATGTAGAACAGAATTGTTAGAAAAAATTAAGAGACATATTAGCGTTTCGTTATACAATCTATAAATTTTTATCAAACTAACAATGGTTAGACCACATCTCTCAGAACCTGATAAACATCCGTCTCATAGTTAATCCGTGTAGTTTAATTCAAACAACCAAGAAGATAGTTATCACACCTATCACACGTCGATTTATCGCCAAGATTCAACATAAAGGCCATTAAGCCAATTAAATCATATATCCTCCCAGCAAGACTCATTATAAGTTTGTAGATTAAAAATTATAGCTTATTAGATAAATCTTCACCCTTAAATACATTAGTTGATAGCAAATGAGATTGTAAATAGACGTATAGGGATTTTTATCAATTATGTGATGTTCTTTAATGGAAGATAGAGCTTCTAAAGTTTGTGGTGTGAGTAATCAAGATAAACTATTCTGTTAGACTTGTACACGGAAATAATTGATAATAAAATCAGAAAACAAAACAGCAATTACTTGCATATATGTGAGAAGACGGAATTTATACATCATGCTACAGTATCTTTTACACAGCGAAAATGACTAGAAGCAGTCTCAGCACTATTAATCGAATTGACATATATTACTCAGGTGTAAAATGTCTACAACGCAAATCATCGCTTAGTCTTATCAGATTAATTACCAAGTAATAAGTGTTGCAAACAATTAAGTTTCTAATATTACCCATATAGCAGAATACTAGAATTCCCAAATTCACAATGTGGTGACTTCTAAGAGGCAGGTACAGCTATCTCAAAGCTGAAGCTATGTACGGCTAATTAGCCAGAAAAAGTGAAATCTTAGACCCCCACTATTAGTTATCTTATTCAAAATTCGAAATCGCATTTCATTGATTGACTGGAGCACATCACTTATAACCAGCATCAATAAACAATAAAAAATTATGTTTTTGTTGTGGCTCTCCTCTTTTATACAATACGAGGAGAGATCAAGTAATCTACCTTCCCATTTAAGAATTCTAATGGCAGGTCGAAATTCTTCCTAACTCATTAAATAAAAACCAATTCCACCAGATAATTAGTAAATAATTACAACAAAACAATTCTAATACACTCTCAAAGTGTACCAAAGATGAATCTGTATTCTGTAGATTATCGGCTGTATTCAAAGTAGTCCCAGTTTTGTGTTCATCAATAACTTGTTCCAGCATACTTTGAGTTTCTCTTGCTCTTTCAGCCAACAGCAAGGCACATTCATCATTCATAACCGGTGAATTTGTAATATTTGTAAGTTGTGCAGTAAATCTTAACAGAAGAGAATATATCCCTGGCTCAGGATTAGCTGATAAACAAAGAATGACTCTAGTGTAACAATTCCCACCGATTTCATCATACAGTAATTTTGTTAAATTCGAAACACTGTAAATAATGCAAAACAAACCACAAAATAAATAAGAACTTTCGTCTAAATTTGAACGAATAGTTTCACAATATTTGGGCGCCGAGTTAATGTGAGACATTAAAGAGAAAAAATGTATTTGTAAAATCTCAGCGAATGAATTTTAAGTAAATCCAACGTTTCGCCTGGCAATCTGGTCCAAGCTTTTTCAAGGAAAATATAATCAAACAACAAAATTATCGAATATAAATAGGTACATGGTTCTCTGGTTTACTGTATACTGAATAAGTCATCCAATCAACGTGAATAATGTTTAAAGTAGGTATTTACATTACTGTGTAAGAGACTTGTGTTATGAAAAACGAAAAGTGTTAAGATAACAGATTGTGTGTTTACGTAAGTGATGTGTGAAGAAATTTCATTCAAATATATGTTGTAGCCGCGTAGAATCTTACAGATTTGTTAAGTTTACTAAAATCATGCCTGTTTGTCGTATAAAAATATAGAACCATAATTTACTAGTTAGTCCATCGACTTTTTAAACTTTGAATCAAGATTCAATCAAGTTTGTCTTAATCTTGTACAGCCTTAAAGAACGAGTGCCACGCATTCTTCAAAAGAATGATTAACTTTTATTATTGTCAAAAAATTGAGTAAAACAAGATCAGCTTACTTCCTGTACGTTTTTATTTATTTTTCTTGAGCTACATACCGAACGAACTCAATATGATTATTGCAACCTGTACATTTTGTTAGTTATTTGAATATTTGTCCTGTTATTATTAACCTTAATACACTATATTAGTGTACAAAAATCAAAATATTGTATTTTGAGTAAAAACTGGAAATGGTTTAGAAGTCTTAGCATGAAAATCGGTGTCCTTTATCTAGCAAAGACTATACCCGACTTCCTGTTTTTTCTGATAGCTAATAATAAATGCAGCATTTTATGAAAAAACACTTTCGTCTCGTAAAAGGTTGCAAACTAATTCTTATGTAGTAGCCAAGACTTCATTGATAAGGCTCTCCAGGACGGACGAGTTAAATGTTTTACCCTTTAAATCATGAAAGAATTGGCTGTCATCGGTAACTGACTAATCCCTTCAGCTTTATCTAGTTTTCAGTTAACCTTGGGCAAGATAGATTCATTCACCCTGATTGAGTATTGATGTCTAATTAACAATCAAAAATATTTTATAAATATTTTCATATGCTTGACTATAAAACTACTGCGGACATACTTAATTACAAAAAACTGTTCCCTATCGTTCAGTGCTAGTTTCAAGAGCATCTGAGTAAGCCATGCACATGTAGAATTTTAGTCCTATTAGAAATTGATTTTACAACCATGTTTTACTCATATCTGAAATAAATTAAAAAAAGGCTTATTCATTAATTTCTAATTATTCTTATCATTGATAAACCGTTATTGATTGACGAAGGGATAAATGATTATGTTTTTCTTGAAGCAAAATAACTTGGTTTCCTCCCTGAATTCTAGTTGGTTTATGGTAGATTATCAGTCCATACTACATTTCGTGATGACAATTTTAATATTTTTGCCAAAATTCGAATGAGTTCTGCTTAGTTATTTTGTTGTTATTAAGAAAATGTGGTAGCAGAAACAGTTTATTTTATTAGAAGGCCTATGTTTAAACGGTGTTAAGTTGTTGAAAAAAGTCTTGACAATATTAGGCCTCCTTTAAGTATGCTTCCATGCTAATTAAAGCTAGTAGAAAACTAGAGGAGTTGCAATACTCATTGTGTTTTCCATGCAATTACAAAGTAAAGAGGAAGAATGTTTATGTAAAATCTCAGCGAAAAACTTTGAAGTAAATCCAAAGTTTCGCCTGGCAATCTGATCCAAGCTTTTTCAAGAAAAATATTGACAAAGTAGTTTTAAATAACTGGTCCCTGATCTACAAAATAACGATTTTTTAGGCTCTAGCTTTTGGTTTTCAAGAGGGCTTTGATCAGATGTATCCACATAAACGCGTTAGTCTTTATGAATTAAAGAATAGATTCAAAGGTAAATAATTATGAATTTTACGAAACTAGGCATACAAAACTAGCCATTTTCAGAAGACTAAAATGAATCCAAAATAATATGTATGCAATATGACAGAATATTTAAAAGCCAACGTACAAAACAGTACAAAGCGGCTAAAAATATCTTCAGTCAACAGTTACCTGTAGTTCGGAAGCTTACGAATACCAGGCTTGCCAGATGCCAATTGGAAAGAGAGGTTATACAGTGATAATAGATTCAGTGACGTATGATTCCCAAACTCAATTTCATTTTTCATAGACGGGTGAATTTTCTCAAAGCCAGTGCAACATACTATAGTAAATTTACTCTTAAATATTATTCGTCTTTCATTCAAACTTGCTCCCTGTTAATTTAAAAAGTGAACAATATGAACATACGTTCAATTTGACTCGAAAAATGAAAACTCCTGGTTCGTGGTTTGATTCCTGATTGATTTTGCTAACTCCACCAAAGTAGTTTCGCGATGCTTGTTCGCAAACATTCATAGCTTCACTAAACGAATCTATACGGATCTCTTTAATCGGCTTGTGAGTTTGTTCATAAAATTATTTACAAACTGATTACTTCAAGTCGGTATCCTTCGTTGATCGTAAAGGTCACCCGCAAATTATCACTTTTAGATCCTGATTCCTTCAGCAAGTCCGAAAATCCGTCATTTTGAAGGACAAAAGAATGAAATGATAAGACATCTTTCAAGGAATCTAAGCTGATGTCACCTACAAGGGTGAGAGGTGAATGAAAATATTATTACCATGAGATATGCTCCGAAGTATTTCCGTAACCGTCAGATTCAAAATGCCACACTTATCAGCTCGGAATCCATTTAAAAGCATATAAATTTCAGACTTGATCTCACCATAACACATTATACATGCATTGTAACCAGCAAGAAATGCTTTAACAAGAGGTCTGAGGTGTTTTTCAAACAGTTGCAGGTTCGTTATTTCCGCATCCAGTATTTCGACAAACCTGTTTTGAATTTTTTAAGCAAAAAAGAATCCCATAATTGTGATTGAAACAGTGGCTCCAATTTTAAATATAATGATCAAATTGAGACGCACCTACATGAGGTTCCATCAGTATTGCTAAACAGCACTTGATTGTTTGAAAAGCTAATTGAAGAATTGTACTCTGTGGAGTACACTTTACAGAGAGCATCGATATTCATACTATGACCTTGACAATTATATAAGTACTAAAATTTGGCATGGTGATCGTAGAGTCCAATATCCAATATCTTTTTCACTAGCTTGTACAAACATTGATTTCTTTGCGCCTGTTTCTCGTTGTTTTATTACTTTCCCAGGTACGTGGTTGTGCTCGACGGGTGGTAGTCTAGCCACCGCTTTAATCCTAGTCAGTATGTTAGTTATTTGTGGATTTCTATATCTTATAATTGAGTGGGTTTGTCTCAGAGCAGTAGGCTTTCTGGAAAGCAGCAGCTACCACATCAAAAGATAGTAGATTGTTTGTCTTCAATGTGAAAATATCAAAGCGATAATGCGAGTGCTAAGAGATTATTGTTTCGTGAATAAATAATTAGTTCACTTAATTGATAATGTGTTAGAAGACGAAATTGAAAGAATAAGATGTTAACAGAGATAGCAATGAGAGAGATAGGAATTAGTTACTTGTTACGCGTTAATGGCAACCATGATAGTTTATGAGGCATACTTCATATACAGACGATACAAGGAGGTGATGATAATCCCCAAGTGAGCACGTGTTTATCAAGTCTCCTAGTAAAACTATCCACCGATGGGATTGTGGTCACTTCGGTCACGAGAACATTCCAATTCGGGAAGCTACTACTGAGAAAAGTGGGGCATACCTGGGTGTACACGGTTTGATGTGCAATCTCCCAGGGGTTGCCTAGAGGAGTGTGTTGATGATACGCTGACATTGCGTTTGCTTTGGGGTGGCTCCGCGTACTTCTCATGTTGCATGCCATTATTAGATCACCTCCCATTCCCTTTAGCTTAGCAAGAATAATACCAGGTACCAGAAGCTTTTCTTGCGGGATTTATGTTTACAACCTGTTTCTGTACTTTGTCTTATAGATTTATATCTCTTTTGAAGAGAGGAAGAGCAACGATATTGTTGACTTCAAGGTAAGGAATAGCCTTTGACGTGCTTAAATAAACCAGATCAATTCTTTCGCCCATCTTCCTATTGTTTCGGTGTAGTTCAAAGCCTTTGACGATGTTTAATAGACAGCAGTCTAGCCACTTCAATTCAAGGTCAGACTTTTGGTACATTTGGCAGTACGCGTTTTCCTATCGCTATTGGGTCTTCTTGAGGCTCAAACAAATCCATTTTGCTTCTTAAAGACTTACATGTGTTATCAATAACAGTGTGCATGAGGGTTAGTGAGTAATTTTTATCTAAGAAGATCAAGAAGGGAAGGGGAATTGTAACAGATATTTGTAAAACTCCAAGTATCAAGATTCCTGAGCTCGTGTGCATTTTTCTCTAGCACGATACAAAAATACAGTTGATTTCTAAACTAGTAGATCAGTGAAACTCATCTTCTTGACTTCCGTTGTAACAAGTGCGTACAATAATGTTTCGAGGACTAGCTCACAAACCGGTTTCTTTTGGTCACAGTCGGTTATCCGATTTCAAAATGCTAGGAGAATATTGAAGGCTCTTGACCTGCCCTTCCTAAGTCCATGCAGAGCTTCATGAAATTTTTTGTCCATACATTTTCTCACTTAGTCATTAGCTAGTCTTTAGGTTACGCACAACGTTAAAAATAATGCAGCTGGTCCGTGACAAACTGAATCTTACATATCGTCGTTTCCGAAGATTGAGGGTAGAGTCTTCTACCCATCCCTGTAAAATTTAAAGGGAATATAACAATTTCATCAATCGGTCACGGACTGGTGTGCTGATGACACTATGTCACAGACCGTGAACTGGTACTGCGCAGGAAGCGTATCCTAAGCCTGTTAAATCCCATTTGGTTTAGTGAGAAAAGAATCACACCATTTATACCTTAGATGCGAAAATGAATAAGCTACAAAATGTTCAAATTTTATATTTACAAGCAATGGAATAAATACATTTTTACGCAAAATATCTGAAAATTAGTTGAATCTTGAAAGTTGTTTTTGAAAGAAAAATCTATCGAAGTTTAACGGAATTAGTTAATTCCTTTGAATAGCTGGAACTATTGAAATAAGGCTAACTGAAAAGCATTAGCGACAGTGGATCCTAACCGCAAGACCCTTGAAGCTAAACATACAGTAACTGAGATGACTTCCATTTTATGTAGAACTTTCGGGGGGGTCCGAGGAAGAGAAATTAGACCTTAATCGCACAATGTAATATCACACTTTCTAGAATTTTCATGATTGTTAAAACGTAAAGCTTCCAGTGGAAACGAATACACCAATGGATATAGAGTAATATGGATCACTTGTTCCAATGATCACCTTGGTCCGTAAGTAGTATGCTTTCTCAAGTGTGGTGATTCGGCAAAGTCTAACGGTTTCATGCACATCGTTTGTGCGTAGGACACGAACTACTTAATGAAACTGTAGAATTATGGTCTACTATGATGTTAGTACTGCTCTAATAATAGACCTAATCCTAAAATTGTAGATTTATCATGATATAACTGCCTAATCTATACGATCTTACGTGGAAGTCATATCCATCGTCTACATCAACTCATTGCATAGTAACTATCACCAATTCATGATGAAGAACAAGTTTAGGGTAGAGATAGAACAATATATTTAATGAGCAAAAGATATAAGGTAATTTCAACATGTACTACGCACGCAAGGCCGAGCTATGCCGTCTGATCAATTCTATTTAATTCAAATCCTTCTTCCCGCCTTCTTCATCGTTAGGTATTTCTCTGCTTTGAATACTGAATATCTATTTTACCAGTTGTCTCGTGTTTAAATTTGAGGATTGTGTGGTTATGGCCCAATGCCACTACAAATTCACATCTGTGATTACATTTCAGAGCCCCGAAATTCTTACAAAAAGGTGGGAGTCTCTTGCGCAGACAGTGAGAGGTTGATTAGAGTAAGTTTAACATGCAGAACAAACTGAACGAAAGCGAGATTGTGGAGCTGGGTTCCAGTTTACGTAAATGTGACTTTTCCTACATTTTATCTGCTTCTTGTGTCACGTAGTGACATATTTTTTAAAAACATCAGAACGGAATAAGGATTTATTCTCCCTCACTCTCATATTTGTGACTAAATATAAGTTACCGAACAACATCTGAGTTTCAATATTTCAAACACCACGTAATATAATTTATTCACCAATCTTATTTGAACCAACTAATAGTAGTTGGATGGTTCTTCTAACCTTATTGAATTATGTCACGTGACGGAATGTATTCATATACATCAAGAAACAGACACAAAGATGCAAACTGATTCGTCAGGATTTGACTCAACAACCCGAAGTTTGCTTACCAGAACTTTATATCTTCTCGAAAAAATTTCACGGGAAGGCGCAGATGTGTTTGCAAGGTTGCAAGGAGGTAACTACACTATACCGTCTTGTTTACTAGTACATCGATTAACTACTGAGTAAAATTCAACCCTAATATTTGGTAACCGCTTTTCAATGTATTGGTGATCGGTCAATTAATGTGTATCTGACTGGTTGGATCAACTGAGGAATCCATACGACTAAGTGATAAGTAGATGTGGTTTAAGGAATGGAAAGCTGGGGGTTATATAAGTCATTTCCTGTGACACTTTTACATGCTCCTGGTATACTTTTGGACGGTAAATGGTAAGACTCCTGGACAATTACTCCAGTCGGCATATTCAAATCGTCAGTTAGTCTATATGAAAAATCTTCATTGTGTAGAAACCCATTAGTCCTTGGCTTTTTAATCGCTTGTGTTACTCTAACCTAGTTGTGGCTAAAAGAAAATAATACATCAGTCCGAACTCCACTTCCTGGTATCATAAGCATTTTGAAGAGCTCAATCTTAAATCCATAGTAGTGTGAGGAAACCTGAACCTCAAACTGTTACAAACGACAATGAACAACAGTGAGTCTTAGTCGTCACGTCATGACCTGAAAGATATTTATACAGATTCTATGCCATCTGTAACACTCAGTGCTTTGGACTTTATCGAACGGTCTTATGAGGTCAGCTTAAGTCATGTCCAGTGATCGTGCTCAGTACAGGGGCTTGGTTCGGCTTTCTCTCCTATCGGTATGAGGTTTGTAAACCTGTGAAAGTTGTTTCCAAATTACTGACAGACCATGTTTAACAATTAGTAGGCTAGTAGGGAGGTTGACACTATATTTTCAAAAGAGTATTTTCCAAAGTTCGACTGAACACTCACAACGCCAATAAGTCTCTCTTTGATGGATGTGGCACATCATCTGTTTGATGTATAGGAATGGTCTTGGCTTTGCTCCAGACTGGTGAATAAAGTATATGTGATACAAAATAGTGTGCATAGGTAATGTCTGGCAGTCTAAATAACACAAAAGTGTTGTTTAATAGCTAAAAAGCACATTTTTTCGATAGTTTATGTGTGGAAAAACGTAAATTGGATGCTCCATTGGTCCTTTCAGAATTCAATATCTTTATATTTCATTGTTATAATTATTTTAGTCCTCCTGAGGATTTGCTTTGTTTAGGTAGCATCAAGACTCACAGGGATGCTACTTCGAAATTTTCGTCACCACAGCAATCTATGAATTTTCTTTCTTTCAGTGTTAAGTATTAATTTTCAAGGCGACCAATTAATGAATACCAGAATCATGTCAGGTTAGATGCAAGTAAATGATTTTGACTTCAAAAATGGCCTGGCCCTCCTATCCCATGCACATCAGCAAATGCAGGTCAAGTCCAACAGTATAGCAGCAGCCTCTGCATCAACGGACCTCATCAAAGAAATACGAAAAAGCGAGATCCTCAAATAGAACACATTTGACGGTGAAGCTCTGAAAGAGGCGGAAACGTTTACGTACCTGAGCAGCATGACTGATGAACAAGGAGGGTCGAACGTGGACAAAGAGCCATATGCTTACAATTGAAGGACTCATGGAACTCAAAACAACTGTCAACCGATTTCAAATTCAGAATCTTTGGTACTAATGTCAAGACAGTCCTATTGTATAGAGCTGAAATGTGAAGAACAATCGCGACCATCACCAAAAAGGTACAGGTACTTATATACAATTATCTGTGCGAGGTACACAATATCCGTGGACTAGACACCATCACCAACAGTTTACTGTTCGATAGAACAAACCTACTTCCAGCTTTAGGGGAAATTAAGAGAAGACGTTGGAAGTAGATAGGACATATATTACGTAAATCACCAAACTGCATCACGAGGCAAACGATAAATGAAATTTTGAAAGGGAAAAGAAAAGAGAAAAACCATGGAACATATGGCGTCGGGAGTCGGAAGCAGAAATCAAAAGAATGAATAGTAACTGGGACCAATTGAAAAGGATTGCCCAGTACAGGGTTAAATGGGAATGCTGGTGGACGAACTCTGTTACTCCACGAGGGATAACAGGCGCGAAATAGTAACGACCGAGACTGTTCAAATGATTACTCTAAACGTATTTATTTAGTTGAGTGAATCGGTATTTTAGAATGATTTACCAAAGGGGCCATGCGAATCGGATAGTACGTTACTAGTGCATATGTTTTGACCTTCGGTAACACGATTGTGGATAAATATGGTAAGAGGTTCGCGATGATTGTGGAGAGAAAGTCGACAACTATTAGCTAAGAATCGTCAATAACTTGGTAGAACCGCAGTTTCCCAAACGCATATTTTTGTGTAGTCTGGTTTATGAAAAAAACATGTCTCGGAATATAGGAAAGTGTGGAAACGTGATAGGAACTCTATTTACCATAAGTTCTTTTCAGTTGTACTTTAACTTAACGATACATAAAACTTGCAAACTTGTTTTTGCGCAGCGAATGCTGTTCAATTTTTGCAAGTAGTAATGAGGTATCAATAAACTCCTGCACGATTGTTGGTTTTTTCTTCACTGTAGTTTCATGGGAGGCATACCGATAGTCTTAATGCGTAACTGTTTGTGACAATTACCAAGTACCGGGCTATTAGAGTCAATAAGTGCGCTTTACTTGCTTGAATTAGGGCTAATACAAATAACCACATCAAAGACGACTTATCTCCTACCCAGACAGCGAACGTTAACTATATCAAAATACTAACAAACTGTGGTAAAAGCTATGTAATAAGCACAAACACGAAAATTGACTTGTGGAGACAAAAATGCTGTCCACAGCTTGTAAACAAAGATACTCAAGATACTCTAAAACACGTGACATGGGCAAAAGAACCCATAGCTTGACGTATTCTTCATGCCGAAGTGAGAATAACCCCGCTGTGTTTTAGTCAGGTATTTTTATTACAAGGTCATTTCGGACGTATTTAATAAGCTATAGGTTAGTATGGCTTTTCGTTCCCCAAAAACGTCGCGCACGTTTAACACAAAAGATGTCGTATGACTATGGAGAAAAAAATGGTAACACTTCTTTTTTTACTATAAATACATGTTAAGGCCCTCATACATGGGTGTTACGCTTTCCTAATGCTGGAGGAACAAAACAATCCCCAATCAACTTAAACACAATGTCAATGAGGCTTGATGAATCCCTGGCTCCAATAAATGTGGACTTAAATGGACTTCAAAACCAAACTCTACACGTTAAAGACCACAATTTCTCGGTCGAAGTGAAGGGAAATGCAGGTAACCCCTACAAGTTTCACTCTTACTAACATGGAGTGTTGTTTTTGGTTCATAATAAATTTTAATCATTAATAATTTTTCATGACATCTATTTAACCTCTGCTGATTCCGACCTGAATGGTTTCATATAAGATTTGTTGAAAGTGAAAATCCGGAAAAGATACATTTAGGAATATTATCACTGAAATTAAAGTGTCCAAAATGTCCATTATTATTTTTAACATCACATATACAAAAGTATATTCGGCGAGGCCACTGTTAAAATGATCTAATTTACATAAGGCAATATAAAAATATTTCATAGCGTGACATTGCACATCTATGTATGGACTGGTAGTAAACGTTGGAGAGGTATCACAGTTTCATCAGTGATAAGTTAAACTTTTTTGGATCAAGTGTGGAATTAACTTTTTTGCTGCATTGTTATATCGTCTCATGAAATGGTGTGTTTTCTATTTATGAGGTCTTAGGGAAGATGTCGTTAAGTTTAACACCGCATATCTTGAAAATAAACCGTATAAGTAGTTTAACTAAGTAGTATTAGTTATCAGTGAGTCGGAAGTCTAATAAACTTCTGTAGGCTGATTATTGGTGATATGTCTGTTACGCCAAATTTTATCGTGTTGGTTCTTTTTTATACGACACAGCTGTGCTGCTCTCCTAATGTATTCTTGAGTGTCAGAAATGTGTGTCATGATTGTCCTGTTCTCTAAGATTATAAATCAAGATAAATGATATGTATTTCTAACCTGATTATTGATAAGAGTTCATGAAATGCTAGTTAAGGGATCTCTTTGGCGTTTTCCCGGAAATATGGTTGTTGATTGAGCACATATTTTTGAAACTCTATCGTTCTTCATTAATTATCGTTAGCTTATGAAAAAGCTCTCGCTTTGTAGACATGAAAGCTCCATATAAGTTTTATATTCCCTTCTGAGCTTTTACAAAGACATTACTTTTAAAACTATCGGTAAATGAACGCTTTTGAAGTACTTATTCGGCCACTAGTGAGATTTGACAACCTAGGTTCGTACTTGTCATTTTGTCTGCTTAAAGACAAACGTTATTCAACTAAAACCATACGATCGTAAACACTACCTATTAGTTTTCTGAAAATCATTGTTTTCACGCTTTATTCAAGAGCTATTATGACTAGCGAAAGCAGTGAATACACTCACATTTTACATCCTACCTTTATGCTTACAAACGAGAAAATAATCCTCCATAACTTGTTTATTTATCCATCCCCTATAAAATACCTTTCAGGTGGAGTCAACACTAAAAACATCATTAAGACTCCCAGATAATAGTATGTCGTTATTTTACGTTCAGTTTTTCCGTGGATCTAATGAAGTCATTAACCACAGATGTGCATTATCAAGTGATAATAACTTACATTTTTTCTGTAATAGTATAGACTAGGATAAAATATGTATCAATGCAATTAAGAGTAGAAGACAAGTTATTGTCTCCCTATTTAGTTACTAACTGATGCTCAATTCAATAATTTGTGAGGTTTAACATAAAAACAAAATATAGAATCCATAGAAAAATGGTCTTTCAGTCATATATGATATTGGTATCACATTTTGCAGCCTTTGAAGTATCTCTGACACCAGTCATTTACTTTCACTTAAATTGCTTTGTAATTCATAAATAAAGATCACAGACGATACAGTAGACCGAATGCCACCATCATACCCTAGCTAAATGTTTTAAAAATATGAATAATATAATAATCAACAGAATTTGAGGGTTAATCGTCAAATAAAGTTACAGCATTATGCTCATAAGTGTTGTTATTTCATCTGATTGTCTGAACTGATAAATACAATATTTTATGTTGTTTTTGTATGTTAAAAACACAATTTTACTTGAAATTTGTATATATTTTGTGAACCACCTCCATTTTAGTTGATGGTATAAAATATTTCGATCCCAGATTTCCTTAGATAGTAAATAAAGTTTTGCCCAAGTTAACTTATAAACAAGTAGAGCCAACTAATTTTGTCTCAAACAAAGACTTACTTACTTACGCCTATTGCTACTCGTGGGAGTTTAAACAAATACAAAGAATATTAAACATATCCTCTTTGATCTTAACTAGCAATGATTAAGTTCTAATATGAGAAACAGTGTGGTCTAGCATCAACTAATTCTGCATTTTAAAGTGCAAATTTAACCAAAACTACCAAACAAACAGATTATATCTATTGAAAAAATGAGATAAATCTATTTTTGTCTCCTAGTGGAGCTTTGTTATTCAAAAATGGAATTTTAAAGAAGATAGCATGATTTAGCTAAGAAACATAGTTTTCTGGGGATCTAAATATCGAGGTTCTACATTCGCAAACACATTCACAACTTTAAAATAATAATGTACACTTAATAATCATAATGGCTCGATCAGGATAACAAAATAAGTAAAAACACAATAGGTATTATATGTGTGTAAAGGCTAACAACGCGATTGCTATAGGACCTCAAATAATAATTTAAAACTGGCATAGAGACTAGAAGAAGAATCGTAGTTACAGAACTAAACTGTATAGCATGATATTGCGGAAGTGAAGTTCAGTAAATATAAATTAGGATACTGCATAATTTATGCTGCAAGCTATCCATTTTAATCAAACTTAGGTACTGAATAGGGCGATTATCATCAATATTATTATATTATTATTGTTATCACGAGAGAAAAGAAAAGGGAATTCTCTGGTTCCAATAGTTACCTACTCACTATATAGGTTGTTACGAATGATTAGCTTGATTCAATCGAATGAAAAATGTTTGATGATTTTTCTATTTGTGTACTTCCTATATATGAAGTGTTGCCTCTACACAACCACGAATGAGAGTATTCTCGAACTCACTTGGAGCGAATACAAATTAAAAATACGCGATAGGTTGACATATAAGGAATCTAATAATAGAAAAGATTGTAAAAACTAATTATTCAATTGAAAAAACTCATAATATTCTGAATTATTGTCTTAATGAATTGAAACACGTCAAACATAATGGATGCATTTTTATATTGATTACGTAATTGAAATTATTATAATGAAATCACTGAAAGAGTATATATTTGTTCAACTACTTATGTCTCGATGAGTATTTTAGTTTAAAATACAAACAACAAAATTTAGGTGAATTCATAGTTCAGCATTTATTTCTATCTTGTTATGTATGATTTCATTTGGTCTGTACACTTGTCTATTATAAACCTTTTAACACAAAATATATATCACGCCAAAAATAACTAATATACAAAATATATTTTTAGTCTGATAATATCATTTTACGCTTTATCTCATTTTGCCAAATCTTATATACTGACTAAAGTTTGTTGTTTAAACTGTTTAAATAACCAAATAAACAAATACTTTTTGATTATTATTAATAATTAAGCATAGAAACAACAAAAAATCCCTTGAAAATATAATGAATAACTTTGAAATGCCAATGTTATTTAAGAAATAATAATAATTCATTGTAACCGGTTAAATGATTGCATGAGTCAGACGCACATGACTTTGCTATTGAATAAAATTTGAGTTATTTTTACATTATAAGAGCGAATTTATGGCGGTTTGGAAACTTAACGCAAGATAGCTAATTTTGTTCGAAAATTCTAACTAGTTTTTTTGTATTCTTTGCTTTTTTTTCCCCTTAATTGTATACAAAATGAGCTAGAGTAGATATGGTCACTTTTAAAGTTATCTATTATCTAGAAGCAGTAAATAATTTCATATAATTTAAAGTTAGGTTTTTTAAAATTTACAGCGAGATTTCTTAAATGAGTAATACAGGTATTCAATGGAACTAATCGGTCGAATACATATTCATTCACTTGTCGTTAGAGTACATATTTTGTATGAGGTCAAACGACACTACTTTGTATAATTAGAGTAAAATTAAGTTGTGTAGGGTTAAATTCTATACAGTTCTATAATATATATTCTATAATAGAACGATTAGGTTGGTTCTAATTACTTTCCATTAATCCTGATTAGATATCGACATTTTAGTGATCAAGAAAAGTCTTAATTACATTTCGTCTTCCAACAGACAAAGTGTACGTATACTTTGACAGAATAGTCAAGTTACTTTAGATAAAAGAATTTATTTTTGTTTATTAAAATTGTCTTATTACTTAAACGTTATGAACATTTTAAGGGAAACTATCATAAAATAATATTTAAACTGGTGTTGATGATAAGAACCATTTTGAAATTGGATAAATATTAAGAAACCAAATATTTATGTGTATATTATATAAGACTTGCTTTGCGAAAAATCTATGAGGTGTTCTAGTGAGAAGGAGTAACTATAGAGCTGATGTACCTGTAACGTCAGACTGCTAACATCAGTGTCCGCTTGATGATCTAGATATATTGAGAACTGATTAAAATCAAGAATATGAATCACTGGGTTTGTATTCAATAATCTACATGAATATTCTTGCTAAAGAATAGAAATGCTATAGGCCCGTTTACATGTATCGTAGTAAGCGTGGTAAGAAGAACACTTGTGGAATATGTTAAATCCACATATCTGATTCTAATTCATTTTTAATAGCAATGCAGTTTACATTATTCTGTAATGAAAAATATATCCAATTTCAAAAAATCTTCACAATCTATTAATCTGAATTGTAACTTCCAAAGTCCAAGTGTTTCCTTCATAGAGTTAACATACTTGATATTGTTATGACTGGTGGTCGACTGTTATGACTGCGTCACCAATTGTTATATCTGTCGTCGCAATCGCTTATCACTTGTAATTGTAAAGCGAGGAACCACTGCAGTTCCCACGACTTGAAAGAACACAAAGACTGTTATAAATGAAGATTTATTAACCCTAAAATATGACGAAAACCGTAGTCAAAAATACACTCATTTATATATTGATTCATACACCCATTTCGATTAATAATTAGGATGAAATCACATATATGAACAATACTTACGTCTATAACAAATCACATGCTGCATGTC